CACTCTCCTGGTTTCCAGCCTCATGCCTTAACCACTAGATCAATTTGACTCTTTGACGAAATTTTAACATTATTTTGGAATTATTTATGAGGGTAAACAAAGAGCATTGAGCAGGATAAGTGGTATCAAAAACAAAAATGCTTTAAATGATTTGGGATGAAAATGAAAGAATACCAGAAGTATTATAGAGATACGTATGAGAAAAGTAGTTGCATATTAAAAAAAATGGGTCCGAAAGAAATGCTATTAAATATTAATGCCTGAGGGGGAAAAAACAATGAAAAGAAAAGCGTAAATCAGAGGTGGTATTCAGCAGGTTCTGAACAGTTCTGGAGAACTGGTAGTAGAAATTTTAAATAGACTGGAGAACCAGCAAATACCACCTCTAGCTGGAGATTTTACAGTATCCTTTCCCTGCCACGCTCACCAAGCCACGTCCACAGAACCGGTAGTAAAAAATATTGAATCCCACCACTGGCGTAAATGCTGTGAAAATATTGAAAAATGGTATAGCTAATTGGAGAAATCTAAGATACCAATAATATGGTATCAATTCCACCTCTGAGATGCATGGGTTGTAATGGCAATTGGGACCTGGATTGCCATTGCTAAGCAATGCAGCCATAGAGCACAATGTCATTAGAGGTGGTATTCAGCAGGTTCTGACCAGATCTGGAGAACCAGAAGAGGAAATTTTGAGTAGTTCAGAGAACCGGCAAATACCACCTCTGACTGGAAATTTTACAGTATCCTTCCTCTGCCACGCCCACCAAGCCACGCCCACAGAACCGGTAGTAAAAAAAAAATGAATCCCATCACTGAATGTCACGTGACCATATCATTTGGCAATGGCAGTCTCGGCTGCTGCTGTAAAACTTCAAGATGCACATGTCACGAAATGAGTCCCAGGTGAGGAGCCTGAGAGGGGCACAGGGGTTGGGTAAGGCCAGTGCAGTCTAGATACAATTCAGAGGCTGGGGAAAGGGGCTGGGAAGACCGGTGCAGGCTGTTTGCAAGTCAGGAGAGGCCTGGAAAAAGTTTGAGAGGGTCAATGGGGGTGAGGTGATAGTGCTACAGGCAGAAGAAAAAGCAAGAGTGACTTACTGGAGCGACTTGTGCTTCCCATTGAATTTGCCTGGGATAAGCCAGCACTGTCTGCAAGCTTATAATTTGCAAGACGAGAATCTGAGCATTTGGATTGTAATCACATGACCATGGAGCTGCTACAATAGCCAGAGCTTCTAGATTCGGTCATACATCCATTTCTTTCAACCGTAACTGTAATGGTCACTGAATGAGTGGACATAAGCCAAGGACTAGGTGTACGAATGTTATGGAACGGCTGCACACAACATGCGTATCTGTGTGTACTATATTTGTGCCTGACAATAGAAGGGATGCCATTATTGTTCTCTGACACAAAGGGAGCAGTAATAAAAATGAACTACAGGGAAATTAGTTTGTTTAGCACACCTGGAAGTTGTTTATCAGAATTCTAGTCAAAAGAGCTCAAAAGGGAAATAGCAAAGTTTGGGATGTGTTGTGTGGATTTATGCCAGACAGTAGGTGTTAGACTGTTATTTTTTGTTCCTTAGCAGAAGAAGTGCATGAATGTGGGAATGTACGAATATTGATTTACAGAACATGTCTGATAATGTGAGATGAATGAAATGTGAAAAATGAAAGTATCTGCATGTAAGTAAGAATGTACTTCGGTCAGGTTTGTCATATGGAAATCAGTATTAGGTATGTCAGGAGAAAACATAAAAACAAATAGAATGCAATGGCGATTATGTAGCAAAACACAAGAAGAGTAACCTTAAGAATTAGTTCGGGATTGTATACCAACCAAGTATATGGAGATGTTTTGGTCAATGAGGATCAGATTGCATGTTGCATATATCAAAGATGACTGAATGGATTGAGAGGAATGGGGAGATTGTGAAAGTTGCAGTTGGATGAAGCTAATCAGATCATTGAAAGGAGAGAGATGAAAAATGCAAAGAATTAAAGGCAAGGTAAGAAGCAGCATGTAGGTGTGGGATGAAAATGAATGACCTCTGTTTTTTAAAATTAAATTCAGCATTTGTCATGTTCCTGTTATTGCTTTACCTTGGTCCCATTTGTCTTTTTCCCAGGAAGCCATGCTTGAAAAATAATGTAGTCTTCCCCCTCCCACTCCAAAATTGTTCAGGAACTTATCCCAGTTTGGGTTTTCCAGATCTAATGGGAGTAAACTTCCCAAATGTATGCTCGCTGGCAATTGGACGTACTGGAGACTACTGAACGACAGCGGTAAATTGAGGCAAGCTTGTCTGTAAAATGGCAAAGCACTTCAAAAACTACTTCTCAGACTATCTGTCTTCCAGTGGGTCATGGCACATGAGTGTAGTAATTGAGCCATTTCTTCACTGCATTGCCAGTTTGTTTCTCTCTCTTGCCCCACTGGGGAATTATAAGTCAAGGTCTCTCAAAAGACAAGAAGCCCACTCAATGTATTTCTCACCAGTTGCCATTAAAGATCCAATACACCAGTAGCTCCTCTGCTAGCATACTCAGCCTCTCAACCTGTCTGCTTGTAGTCAATCAAAAAGGGCATTTCTTGTTGCCATCATGCACCAAGTCTCATAAACAATTCCCCAGGCCAGGCTTTCTCTCAGCAGAAATTTCCCTTCCCATCAACTCCACTATCCTTGCCTTATTTTCATTGCACGGTGCTAACAACACAATGGTGGCATCTTAGAGGACCGCGAGAAGTATCTTGCCCTCCTAGAGTTTATAGGGGGAAGGAATTGGGGATGAGAACAGAGGTGGTATTCATCAGGTTCTGACAAGTTCTGAAGAACCGGTAG